ACGTCCCCAACTCGTCGGCCTAGGGGATTTGTCCTGAATGAGTGCAGCCTTTGATATCGGTCCTTGCAGCCAAAAACCCCAAACTGAATTCTACACTGCCAGCAGCAATGATCGGCCCCACTGTTACGAGTACAGTCAGCAACTATTTCACAAACTTGCAACTTGGATTTTGTGTTCTCATAAATTAAATTATAGACGAGCTTCACACGTGTGGAGTCACCACCTCATGCGACTAACTAAGGCGATTTCAGTGTTCAGCTGCTGTTGCTATGGCATCCGTTCCACGAGGACTGGCCTAATTTGACAGTAAACATGGACTTGTTCAAGTTGTAGCTGACAACTTTGACACGCAGATATCATCTCCAAAAGGCCAGAAATCAACGCACGGCTCAGCAAAGATACTGGCACAAGCCAACACACAGAAGTCAGAGCAGGTGTGGTAAATGCAAGATATTCCAGCCATCAGGCGTCTCAGCAAAACAGAAACCAAGTCCGATAATCTGACACTTGGTGACGTTGCAGTTCAACGGTACACAGGACACATAAAACCACTTATGCCGGAAAAACTGAGCCTGCGACATGTCTCATCTCTGGTCTTTCTTGCCACACGACAGGCTTCTCTGAATAGAACTGCAACTCAAGATCTGTCATTTTTTAAACAGGCACTCGGCGAAGATGCAAGACCTGAGTATGGAGGTTATAACACACAACGTACCCGCAGTGCAGAACAACAACCCCAACCAAAGACAGATGTGATGTACAGCCCATTCCTGGACATTATCCCATCTGAGCCAGACACCGTGAAGACAGCAATGGTTGAAGACAATGGTCTGACACAGCTCACTGGTCATGGATGGACAATATTCACCAGTGACTACCAGGTGTACAAAGAACTTGTCCACATCACATGGGTTGACAAGGAACAGTTTCAGAAGTTCATCCCAAGACTTGGTGGTATGCACATGCTGAAGAGTTTTGTTAGTGCTGTGGGATACCTGATGGGAGGAAGTGGCATTGAAGACATACTTGGCTCTGCATTTGTGGGGGTGCCAAAAATGTTGACACGGAAAAAATACCCACAAAATGTAAAAGCTTTGAGATTTCTTGTTGAGTAGTTACTGCGACCCATTCTCCCCCAAACTAACATGCACACCATGGCTGCACTCACGCAATGTCTCGTCACCAAAAGCACCCAGAGCAAAACCACAAGACTTTGGGTTGAGTGCTCCTTGACCCAGTGTTCATTGTCATGGCCTTTGTTCGGGCTGAGAGAGAAGCTGACTGGACTCTTCACTTGTTTGCTGTGGGAAAGATGTCCCCTTACATCAGTGAGCCTGGAACGTCAACTATGCTCGCTACTGTCTTTACTATCTCCGATCCATGGAGCGCCTGCATCCACACGTTTTTGATGAAATACTTTAAAGTAATATTGTAGTCTATATATAAATAAATAAATATATATATTATATATATATATATATATGTGTGTGTGTGTGTGTGTGTGTGTGTGTGTGTGTGTGTGTGTGTGTGTGTGTGTGTCGTCCCGTGCCACGAGGAAGGACTTATCCATGCGAGGTCGTGATTTTAATACGACGATTTCAAGTGTATTGCGGATCAGCATATTTATGAAAACTATATGGCGGCCATCTTGTTTTCTTTGAAGTTGCCATTTTATCGAATATTTGATGTGTATTTCAACAAGTGTGGTAACTTTTGTCATACTGAATGCTATTTAATTAAGTTTGTACATTTTTATGTCTTTAAATGCATGATATCCCTCACAACATCTTTTACTCGAAATTCTATGGCGGCCATCTTGGATTTTCACTTTTAAACAAAAATGCCCAAAGTTTAGCATTTGGCCCCCATTAGATTTGAAATCAGCAATGAAAACTCTGTTAAAATCACCAAAGAAAAAAACTTTATGGCGCAAAACAAGATTTTTCATCTGGCGCTCGGACTATAAAACATCGAGCTTAATTCATAATATGGTATTTTAGTTGCGAGTTTTACTTCATTACCAGTTAAGTTGTGCCTGATGATGATGGCTTTCATTATTCATTTGTTTCCTCTTTGTTAAGTGTAAAAGAGATTTTTGAGAAGTTTTAATTTCTGGATGATTTAAGAAAAGCAATACATAACATACTACACGTGCTGTTAAGAAAACAAAGTTTAATTTAAAGATACGATGAATTAGTTAAAAAGGGGTTAGATTCAATGGAACAAAACTCCAAACACATGTTTCTCTTTTGGAATACACACAAAAGACAGCTGTACATAAACATACATTTTATTATATAGTTATATTTTGATTCTGACACTCTCATACGCAGGTGTGCAAACACACACACACACACACACACACACACACACACACACACACACACACACACACACACACACACACACACACACACACACATACACATATATATATATATATATATATATATATATATATATATATGTATATGCATAAACAATATATATATATATCTATATATATATATATATATCTATATGTAATATAGATATATATACACACACACACGCAAACCGGTCACTCTGTACTGATCGGAAACTGGAGTCTTTTTCTGGCGCTACGCACCCACCTTGCTGAGATCTGAGTGTATGCACGAGATGGCAGTTACCAGGGCGACGGACACAGTTACACTGTGCCTTTTATAGCTTGAGTTG